CACGTAGTTTGCTATCAATATGTGTAGATATGTTTGAATATGTGTGGGGAAGGTCAAGAAGAACCTGAGAGGAACAGGGGAGGGACAAGATGCAGAGTGTCCTTCTCACCTCACAGTTGCTCTCCCACTTTCCCCAGGGCTGGACAGACACGGAGGCAGCAGCTGCATGGGGGGCTGCCCAGCAAATGAATGGATGGTCTCTCTGTGGTCAGATCCTGGAGGATGAGGAAGCCACAGCCCCTTCCAGGTCCCAAGGACAGGAAGCTGAGACTTTCAGGAAGGTGATTGGGTATAGTACCTGCCAATCTGTAAAGATGTGGGAAGTAGAGACAAGTGAATGGCCTGGAAGGGGGACTTGTTCTTATGGGCAGGGCCAATGCCCTGTGGGAATCACCCACCCCTACCCCATACACCCCAGTTTTCCCCTTGCCTGCTAGGGGGTCTCCGTGACTCCAGGACTTCCTGAGCAGGGTCTGTATGGTCTGTGACTATTCTTGGGTGTGTCTGGGTAACTGTCTATGTACACATTTAGCAGGCGGTGCTGTTGGCTATGTAGTGCCATGACAGACATATGCACACGTGTATATAAATGCATATATCCATGAAGGTATGTGGTCTGCAGCCGGCAGAGCACAACTTGTGCATATGTGTGACCATGTGCCCAGCATATGCTTTCTGTCACTGTGACACCTCAGGACACACAACTGAACGTGTCCCCATGTGTCTTCTGTGTTTGCGTGTGACTGAGTGTGGATGGTATGCATCTCTCTGTGTGATTTCAAGACTGGACATACCTGGGGGGAGAGGCTACAAGCTGTGTATGTGCTCACCACAAACGCCCTGAGATCAGGATGTCACCCAGAATACTTGTGGCTATTAAAAGAAGGCCAGCTGTCAGCCCAAGTGCCTATGGAACGGAATGTCGATGGCGATTAGAGAAGGCCATATTCTGGAACGTTGGAAATTCCGTTTGCACAGGCGCCCTGGGCAGCCCCTCCTCCCTCAGCTGACAGCTCCCTGCCCTGCCCTTCTCTCACCCCCTTCTCTCAACCCACCAGTTGACTCCTGGGCACTCTCGGGCTTCTCTAATCAGTCCAAGACCTCAGATGCATTCCTGCCTGCCTTTCTCATGTGGCTTCTCTATGTGATTATGAGAGGGGAGCCCAGGGCTACTCTCTGCAGTTGGGGAGCCCCTGTCTTTCCCAGCACTCTCCTGAGAAGTACCCCACCCTGTTATAGAGCTCAAGCACTGTGTATAACCATGGAGACAGAACAAAAGCCTAGCAGTGACCCCCAGGCTGGCCAGGCAGTAATGAAAGACACAGTTCCCATCCTGGGTGGAGACTGGGCTGGGCTGGGGCGCTGGGCACGGAGAGCTGGCCATCAGCAGTCACCAAACACGCGTGATAAGTGCTGCCATGGAGTTATGAGCACGCAGTGTGCTGAGAGCAGAGACAGGTCCCTGAGGCTCCCCAGGGGAGGTGAAGGTGAAATAGGGATCTCCAGCCTGGGGGTAGGGAGGGAGCTCTGTGCCATCCTGGTCAAGGAAACAGCCTTGATCTCCTGTGTGAAGGCAGGAGGATGCATGGGAGGGATTCAGTGTGTCTTGGGAAAGGATAGTTCTTTGTGACCCTAGAACCAGCCAGAGAGACCCTGCAGATGGCAGAGGGGATGTAGGAGAAGGGAAAAGTGGCAGGAAGTGGTAGGAATAGAGGTCTGCAGGGTCCCTAAATCTGCCCCTAGGAGACAAGAAACCCAGCGAGGGGCGTGGTCACTTTGCAGGGTAGCCAGGACCCTCCACAAAGTCCTGAAAGGGTGGAATTGAGTGGAGTGAGCCTGCAGGGTGAAGCTTCGGAGGAAGCCACAAGGCAGGCAAGCAGAGACTCCGAGCAGCAGGGGTGACAGGAGCTGCCAGAGCCCACACATATGCAGGAGGAGTGCTCAGAAGGGAGAAATTGAAGGGTGAGAGTGGGGAGGAACCCAGTCCAAACCCCAGGAGCCTGAGCCTGGAGGATATCCTGCAGACAGCCTTAGACTTTTCTGCTCTTTCTCTGAGATGTGGTCCTTGAGAAGGCCCAACCCCAAACTGGAATGCAACCTGGCCCTTCCACTCAACCTCCTGCACCTCTCAGTGACACAGAGGATCATTGAGAGACTGTTCCCCTTAGGAGGCTTCTCGGGCTAAACAGATGTTTGCTGTTTGTTTTCAGACCAAGGGGCAGCTCTCCAGCCTGTGCTCCAGGATGTAGGACGCCCATTGGTTCTCCCTTTCTTCTGGGACGTGTCTGGCCCTGTCACACCCCCTCACACACACAGACCCAGGATTACGCCTGGAGCCTGCAGGCTTTCAAAATGGCCCTGTCGCCTGTGCTGTACTGGATTCACGGTCCCAGCCCCACATCCTCTCCCCGCACCACAAAACTACTGCCTTGCAATGTGGTCTACACCGGCTTCTCAGCTCAGCAGCCACACCCGGGCTCAGTCTGAAGAATGCATACACAGGCCTTCTTCCTTCCGGCAGTCATCCTCCTCTCCTGAAATGCTGTGTGCTGTGATTGTCCAGGCCGTGACAATGGTGATGGCTCCGGAGAACACACCAGCTATTTATGAGCCAAGCATCTTGGCCAGTCTGTGCATCCAGGCTGGGCATTTCACTGGTCCCCGGAAGCCAGAGCATCTCCCACTGCCAGTGGCTGAAGCTAAACACAGACCTTACTTTGTGCACTGAAAATGCTCCCTCACCTCCTGCTTCTCCCTCCCCCAGGACAAGGCTCCCTGTAGCCCACATTCCCCTCCCCTACTCACAAGCACCAATGGGCACCTCTCCCATAGGTACCTATTTGCATGCGCACCAAGCACATTTGTTCACACCCCACCCCTATGGTTTGTTTCATATCAGTGCTTTAATTTCATCCCAGGGCAGTGTGATTCTGACAGGGTAAAAGAAAATAAAAAAGCAGAGAAGATCTTGTCTGACAAATATGGTGTCTACCTACTGGTCTGTGATGGGAGAGAGAGCTGGGACCTGACCTTGAAGGGCCCAGCAGCTTCTTTCCTCCCCTCTCCCATCCCCCACTTCCACTCCTGAAAGCTCATCTCAAACGGCAGGGGGGCAGAGTAGAGGAGGGACAAAGACCAGACATGGCCCATCCCCACTCCCCAATGAGCTACTGAGCTCCGCCTAGCCTGTGGGTACCAGCTGCTCTCCAGCTGGCTTTGGGTCTCCCAGGGGAGGCAGATAGAGGGAGGTTGGCCTTCCCCTTTAAGAGCATCCTCCCACTACCCTCCCTTCCCTCAGAGGCCGAGGCCAGCATCAGAGTCCAGAGAAAGAGCCTGCAGCTCCAGGTACAGCTTTGCCCAACCCCATACAGGGTCAGCTCTTTCCTTTCCCCATGTGGTCATGCCCTGCTGCTAGGTCCTCTCCAGCCTGGTAGGATGGATACCCCTAAGAAAGGGTCAAAGCTGGAGTTAGGAATGGATGGCATGGGGCCTGGGGGTAGGGAATGATATGGAAGAAGCATTGGGGGCTAATCTTCTGGGCCAGGACAGGCAAGACTGAAGGATACAGGGCAGAGACGATAGTAATGTGGGGGTAAAAAACACAGGTCCCTTCCTAGCTTCTTCCATTTGCTATTTTTGTGACCTTGGGCAAATTGTCCTGTATCATGGGCATTCCTCCCGTGCACTTTGTGTCTGCCAGGCCTGGGACGTGAGGCTGGGGTGTTGGCAGCAGGGAAATTGCTCACACCCTGGCTGCAAAGTCCTCAGAGCAAGCCCAAGTTAGAGCTCCGAGAAGGCCAGAAACCAACCAACCTGGTCGTCTTCCCTGAGCCTCAGTTTCCCCAGCTGGGGAACCAGGGGGAGACTTGATCTATCTCCAGGCTGCATGGGGCCTGAATTCTCTCTTGGGGCAGGGCTTCTAAGAGTATCTTGACCCAAAGACCACACTGGCAGGAGTCCTGAGGGGCCAGTGTCTCTAGAGTATGGGCTGAACATGCCATACATGCTTCCCCTCCCTGCCCATTCTGGCCTTGTGTCCTAGCAGCTGAGCAAATGGCATCTCTTTCCCTCCTCCCTGCCCCCTGCCATTCCTGCGTAAAGGGCACGGGGCCTGGCGTGCAATGCTGGCAGCTGGACCTTTCCATGCTACTGTCAAGTTTTCCAGGGCACAAATGAGACAGGAGAGCCAGGAATAACCAGCTGAGCCCCCAGAGGGTCTGGAGCCGGTGGGCCTGACCCAGATCTGCCTTCAGATCCTGTGCCAACATGGGGTGGGCAGGGCCCCAGGTTCCTGGGCCAGGGCTTTTGGGAGGTGCCTGCAGCCACTAGAAGCTCATTATTTGGCATGAATGCCTTTAGAATTAGCCCAGGCTCCACTGTGGCCCAGGTCCATTCTCTATGTGACCTTGGAGAAGTCATTTAACTTCTCAGAGCCTTGGCTCCTACAGGCTAAGGTGGCAGCCTCTTAGGATCCTAGGGATAATAGTGTAAAGAGCCCTGGGCTGAGTTTGGCCATGCCCCGAGGTTCTGCTATTACAAGATAATTTTTATGGCTGGCCAATCCCAGGGCCAATCACTGGTCTTCTGAATTGAAACTTTTTCCAGACCAGCTAGAGAGTGAGCTCAATTCTAGGCACACAGGACCCATACTGGATAAGGCAGTATGTCAGAGTCCTCACCAGGGAGCACAGAGCAGCAGAACTCCTGCCTGAGGGAGATGAGCCCAAGCGTCCTGGGCCAGGGATGGATCCAGTGAGCAGAGAGAGGGATTGGGCTCTTCATAGGGCAAAGGGGAGAAAGGAGGCAAGAACATTGTCATCAACCTGACCGGTCCTCTCTTCCTGATCCCTGGTCGGGGGGGTCTGGGTGCTGGACACCCCTCCCCAGGGGCTATATTAGCTGTGTGAGTCACAGTGGACCTGGCTGGGAGGCCACAGGCGGGCGGGCACAGTGTAGGGTTACAGTCCATTTATGGGCGCAGCAAGGGCAGATATCAGTGTCGATGGCATTCGCTCCCAGCTATTCTTAGGAGCCTCCCAGGAGCTCTGCACAGCCTGTCTAGGCAGCAAGGGGCAGAGCAGGCAAGGCCAGGGACTGGGGGGTCGGGCAGGGCAGAGGCAGAGGTGTGGGCTGGGGAGGTGGGGTGCATGAGTCTCCCCTCAGTTAATTCTTTTTGCCCTTTGCAGAGGCAGCCACTATCAGCACCAGCATGTCTTACAGTGTGACTCTGACCGGGCCCGGACCCTGGGGCTTCCGTCTGCAGGGAGGCAAGGACTTCAACATGCCCCTCACTATCTCCAGGGTGAGTGCACACTGCTCATGGCCTGGCACCCAAAGGGGCAAGGCACACTCAGAAGAGGGCACGTATGTACATCTGTCTGTCTGTCCTCCCCAGGCTCTTGGAAAACAGAGCATACCCTATCCCCTGTCTGAGGGTTCCGACAGAACTGATCTCCTAGTCTTGGCCACCACTGGTGTTTGCCCACCTGAGCCTGTCCCCGAGAGTTTGCCCACTAGAGTGTGACATCATGGGCAGGTGTTGGGTGTTTTAAGCAGAGAAGGAAATGCTGAGTTTGCAGGGTGGACGGGCAGGTGGACAGAGCGTACAGTGCCTTCTCTGGCAGGGCAGGCTCTGGGTGCCCCCAAGTCTAAAGTCCCTCCCTAAAGTCCCAAAGTTTGTAGATGCTTTGGGAAAGAGCATGTAATGGGTGGGTGGATGGACGGATAGACAGACTGCTGCCCCTGCTTCCCTGCTATTGTGATGTGGAGGCAGGCTTGTTACTGAGTCCCAGCACCAATTCCATTCAAGTCCCTCTTCTCTTGCTACCATGGGCCAGTCAGGGACCCTGCACCAGCTGGCTCATGGCTCTGGACCTTCATCCCTCACTGGTCCAGGACTTGCCTGATCCTCCTGCCTGTCTAGTGTCTCCCCTGGCCCCAGATTTACCTGGAGAGATGGCCCCTTGGCCCTGCAGTGTCTGGGAGGCATAGGAAAGAACATTGTGGGTTGGGAGGTCCACCACTCTCTTCCATCTGGAGTCACTGAAGCCCAGAGAGGCTAAAACTAGACATATTTGAAAAGAAGGGAGAAGGAAGGACTTTGTTTTAACTGCTACTATGGTCCCACATCTACACTACTATCTGGGACAGAATAGGTGCCCAGTCAATCTTTGTCAGATAAAGGCACTCCCCAGCAATTCCTGGAAGAGCCAGGGTTGAAAGCCCCAGAGCTCAGGAGGAACAGTGAGGCACGTAAGGGGGCAAAGACAACCCCTGCCTGGTGGGTGGTTGAAACCCTGGTATGAAGGGGCCAGCTAAGGTCCCCCAGGCTGTCATGGGAACATGGTGGGTGGCCAGGTATATCTGGGCTGCTACTAACCTGGGGGAAAAGGATGTGGTTTCTTTCCCCAGGGCAGCAGACTTATCTTGGGCCTAGGAACAGCACTGCAGTAGGTAGTCGGGAAGACCTGAAGGTGCTCTGGTAAGGGGCAAAAGTGCAGGGGTCAGTGCCCCCTGGAAGAGTAGTCTTGATTTGAGAACATGGCATGGGCACTTGGGGGACCCTACAAAGGAGAAGCTCCACCCAGGGTAACCTTGGAAGCCTTGGATCTGCACTCCTCAGATGCTGGTCTTGCCCTCTACCCTTCTGCTGGAGATCTGGGTCTCTGCCCCTTTCCGCCTACTATCCTGAAGACCAGAAAGTCTCAGATTGAAAAGACACTCAGAGCCTTGCACATCTACCTCAATGATGTGATGTCTGAGCCCAGTGGCTAGCCCACCTTAGTCCCTGCACAGTCCACAAACCCCATAGCTGCCCATGTCCTCCCAGTATAAGGTGGGCCCTTCCTCTCATTCTCATGAGCCTTCCAACCTCCCCATGCCTGGAACTGAGCCCAAGTCTCTCCCAGTGCCACTACCCTAAAGGCTTGCTGCTGATGCTCCCTGCCCCATCCTGTGGGTGCATGTTAGCCCCCAGGCTCAGTGGACCCAGGATAGCCAATGACCTCACATAGGACCTATGCACCACCTGGCTCCAGATGGCCAGGGGCTTAAATGGCAACACAGAGACCTTAAGCTAGACAGCAAGAGGAATGTCCTCACTCGGGGAGGGAGTGTGTTGGGATGTGCGGGAGCCAATGACTGGGGGGACTTATAAAAATAGAACCCATCTAGGACATTGGGGGATAGGCATGGCATTTTCCTTCTGAGACACACCCCAAATCATCTAGGCCATGGATCAGGGTAGGCTGGACACTGGAACCCTCCCCAAGACAGGAAGTCCCTTGGAAAATAACACTGGTGGCTGAGGACACCTTGGCCTCAGGTATCGCAGGCTCAGTGCTCCTGGCCAGATAGATTCTGTGCACACCAGGGCTGTGAAATTTCCTGCTGGGGTTCACAAGGCCCTTCTGCACCAGGAGCAGCCCCCTCAAAGAGATGCAGTGCCAAAACTCTGGAGGACCCCCACTCCCACCCTAGCCATCATCTGCTTCTCACGACTGGCCAGTGGATACTGCTCATAGTCTTGATCTGAGCTTTTGCCGCAGGGCACCACTGGCAGTCCTGGGGTGGGGAGAATTGGCCAAGCAGAGCATACTCATTCTCAATAGGGACCTGAACCCTCAGGGTACATTCACTGCAATCCAAGGGGGTGATCGGGAAGCCAGGGCTGGGATTTCCTCACCTTGCAGCCATCAACCTGAGGCTCACATTTATGCACAGAAGTGGTGGTGGGTGGAATTCCTATGTCTTGGTGGTACCTAACACCCATGCCTGCTCCCACACCTCTCTGACTATAGAAGCCCCACCCTTTCAATTGCAGACAGGCATTGCAGCTCCTCCTGTAAGGATACCCGCCACCTGCAGGCTAAGTGGTAGCTCCTATACCCAGCCCTGCTTTGTCCATGGGCCCCACTAAAGCAACCTGAGGCAGTAGCAGCCGTGCAAGGGCTCCCTTCTGTGGGTCTTAACAGGGTACTTTTACTAGTGTACAAAGGATGACCCACAGAGAAGGGGGTTCAGGAGGGGACTGGGAGAGTGGAGGGGAAATGCCTTTATTTATCCTGGACAGGTGTGGTAGGGCCTGCAACATGAGCTGCCCTCTCACCCCACCCTCTCCAACCCCAGCCAGTTCTCCAGGAAGTAGGGGAGGGGTGGGAGCAGCCAAGGAGGGAGCAGCTCTAAAGGCCCAGCCCTGCTTTGCCCCAGCAGCTGGCCAGGGGCTGGGGCCACAGTCAGGGCCTTACCTCTTCATGCCTGTTATGCCCCCATTTTTATGAAGGTGCTGTGCTTTTGTTCAGCTCTGCTACTCTCAGCTCTGTCATCATCTGTCCAGCCTCAGTCCTCTTATCTGTAAAATGGGCCCTGCTGCACCAGGACTGTCCCCCTCAAAGAGATGCCAGGCCAGAACTCTCTGGAGGAAGGGACAGTGCTTTCTTCTAGGTGTGAGAGTACAAATGTAAGAAAACTTCCCACTTGGCTGGTTGCAAGGCTGGCAGAGTGGCAGGGTGAGTCTGGGTCCAGGCAAGGCCCGCCTCTGCTGGAAGGCCTCCAGCCCCGGGCCTCACCAACCTCACCTGGCAGACACCAGTCCAACAGCCTCTGCTTTTATGCTGGTTTCGGTTTCAGTATTTATTGGATTCTCCCAGCTGAGGTGGGGACACTGAGAACAGAGGATCCCTGGGGAGACAGATGGGGACAAGCCAAGACTATTCTGGGGTAGTTGTGCAGGCAATTCCTGGAATTTTGAGGTCGCTGGAGCACGTCTCACTGTCACTCAGGCAGCGCCTAGCAGTGCTGACAGGCCGTGCTGTTTATAGCCTCACTGAAGGTCAGGCAAGCCTCCGAGACCTCCAGCGATCCATCTATCAAACAGGGGAAGATAAGTGAAGACCGCAGAGTCACAGCTGGGAATGAATTCTTAGAGACACCCTCTCCCCAGACCAGGCCTTCCCTGCTATCTCTGACCCCTTGATAGCTCTGAAGGAAGTGGACAGAAAGCTGGCTAGATCCTAGGGAGGGGACCTTCAGAGGCCTCTGGACCAGAGCAAGGGCAACTGCACGGGCAGTCCCAGGAAGCCCGGGTTAAAGGCATTGGGGGGCAGCAGGTGTGAGGAGGACAGAGCCCCAAGTGGACATCCCTCTAGCCTGGGGACCGAGGTCCCCCCAGTTTCCTTCCCTTTCTGAATGACTCCCTCCCGTGCAGGGGCTGCCCCTGATTGCAGCTTCCCCTTGGGCCCCATCTCCAGTCCTCTAATTGCCAAACACAGCTTTCTCCATCCTAAGAGGCATGAAATTGGCTTTGCTGGGAGACCCTGAGAGCCAAGTGCACAGGAGAGCATTTTACTGGCCATACCCAGGACGTAAACAGAGCTATAGGCCTGGACAGGAGGAGAGGAGAGGGACAGTGGCTGGGCCTGGAGAGGCAGGGGAGGGCGTGGTCAGCTAGAGAGGAGCAGTGACAACCCCACCCACCCAGCTTGAACATAGGGGGGCTGTTGTTAAATGTGGCTGGATGGGGGCCAAAGCTGGATGGCTGAGTGTGAGAGGGGTGGGAGTAATGGGGCTGAGACCTTCAAGTCTCTTCTTCGGAAGTCTGGAGGTGACAAAGGGAGAGAAACGAGACAGGATCCAATTAGAACAAACAAGGCAGGACACTGAAGAAATTTTGACTTATTTATTGGCCGAGGTGGGACTGGAGAGTGGGGGCTGTGGGGAGACAGAGGTTCCAGTGAGAGGATGAGGGCTGGGGCAGGGCCCCAGGGGAGGACAGATGGGAAGGGAGCAAGCATGGCACAGTGGTAATTTAATCACACAATGTTAAAAATGTTAAAATGTACCCAGGGATTCAGGGGGAAATCCCGGGGAAGGGTTGGGAGGAGGAGCTATGGAAGTTGTAATCTCCTAAGGCTTTACTACCTGCCCCTGGCCCTACCCTGCCACACCTGGCAAATCCAGAAGAGACGGAAGGCAGGAGCCTGCCTGCTGCTGAGTACCAAGAGTGATGGCTGGAAGCTTGTACAGAGCCCAACTGCCAGCAGGGAGGCTGCCAGCTGTTGTCCCTGTTGCCAGGGTGCTGGGGGATTAGGAAGCCACAGCCTGGGTGTGCTGGAGTCCCTACTGGCACCTTACTTCCTTGGGACCTTGGATAGAATTCCCCTGACCCGGGCCCCTGTAAGGACAGCAGTTGACTCAGTACTGGTCATTTGGGGCTGACCTCTTGCCTCCCACCCTCTGCCAGCGCTGGATCTTGTTTCCTGTGGAGCCTGGGGATAAGGCCGAGACTTCAGCCCTTCTGGCACCTCTGGGGGTGGGGGGAAGGGGACAGGGTCAGCACTCACACTTTCTTGGTTTGGAGCTTCTCTGGAACTTTCTCAGCTCTGCACCCTCCTTACACAATCCCCTGTTTAATAATATAGTCCTTACAATCATCCTGAGGGATGTCACACTCTCTCGACGGGATACTTGAGGGAAGCTCATTCCAAAGTCCATGCTCTTTCTTTTGCTGCCTCCCTTGTAGGTACATGCAGATGACCCTGGTACCAGCTATTCCTGTGCCACCCTCTGGTGGGCCCTAAGACCACAGCCCAGCAAGGTAGAAGGGCTCCTGTAAGCCAGGTTGCTGAACTTGGCCTCCAAATATCCAAATACCCAGAGCTTGTCATCAGTGCTCCCTCCTGGGGGTCTCTGGGATCTGCTCAGGGTTGGGGGTCCCTGTTGAGAGGTGTCTGTCAACTGAAGAAAACTGAAAAGTGAGGTGGAAATAAACTACTCATTTCAGAGAGGAATTTAAATGCCCAAAATGGAGTAGGAAGATTTTTTTAAAAGAAAAAATAAAGAAGAAACCCTTCCAAGAATTTGGGAGCTTTGAGTCTTTTCTGGTACAAAAGGGATGGAGAGTCAGATAAAAGATGCACAGACATATCATGCTGGACTATACTTTTCATGAGCCCAGGCTCTGGCAGTACACAAGGGTCCAAGGGTGCCATTTCTCTTTCCCAGCCAGGGCAGTCTGCTCCTGGGTTTAGGGTAAAGGACCTGATGGCCCTTGGCTGCCTTTGGGGTTCCTGCCTCCATCCTGCCTTCTGTAAGGGCACTTGGGCAGAACAGAAGAGCATCTCCCTATAAGAGTATATCTGTACCCCACCCAACCCTGAGGGACATTTGACTCTGCTTGGGGCAGCCAAAGTCTAGGCCAGCTGTGTGCCCTGATGAGCAGACACAGGTGCAGGGAGAGAGGCGCCAAGGGCAGACTGGAGCCAGCTCATAGCTCCCCGCCAGGGTATATGGCTACTGACCTGGCTCCAGGGAGGCTGAGCTCTCCTCAGGAACGAGGATCACCCCAGCTCACACCTGAGGATGAGGAGGAGCCAGACAGGACCCAAAGGGAAGGACTGGCATGAGCTGGCCTATGCCTGAGAGAGAAAGATGTCACCAAAGCAAATCTGAAAGAAGGGCATTCCAGCTGGCCTGCAGCTGGCCCTAGCTGATAGGGCCCAACCTCCTTTGGATATCATTCTGGTGCCCTTGATCACACTCGCATGATCTTCTGGATGCTCCCATCCTGCCTGGCAGTGTTTCTTCTGTGGTTGCAGATCCTGTCCTTTTGTGTGAGATTTGCAGCTGTGTATTTCCCCTCCCCCAGATTTCTGCTGCCAGAGACAACCCCTTTTCTGTAGATGGTAAGAAGCATCTGGGTGTATCATCCTATAAAGTTGTCTTGCTGTGGAGCGGACATGCTGGGAGTTACCTACTATGGGGAGCCACACCATGAGTTAATAAGCAGTAGGTAATAAGCATGGGGACAAGCATGACAGGTATCTTCCTGCTCAGGTGTGACCTGCTCTGGGGGAGCCTTGTGGACAGTGCACTAGGAACAGTATAGTAGTTGCAAAAATCACCTTGAATAAAAGCACATAGTGTTTGTAACTTCTTCGAAATGCCTCTGAAATAAGGATTGGAGGATGGATAGATAGCGGGATAGATGTGTGGTAAAGCAAGATGAATTAAATATTATCCCAGAACTATGGTGGTGGGTATTTCAGTGTTCACTGTAGAATTTTTTCAACTTTTTCCATGTTGGAAAAAGTCTATAATGAATTGTTGGGGATGGCAGAGCCCTGCACAGGAAGCCAGAAGGCAAGTAGATTTTCTTCAGCACAGCCTGGTGGGGCGAGGCAGTTCTGTGTCTTCATGAGTCCCCTCTTGGTCTAGGAAAATATTTTGGTCTTGTTCAGTATTATTGGTTCACTGCCCCTCTCCAAGGCAGCAACACACTCCTATCATTAGAAGAGGATCCGTATAGCAACAAATTTAGGGAGAAGAGTGTATTTGGAGAAATCCCAAGTAGTTCTATAGGGCATCTGCCCCTATGGAGTCTGGAGATTGAGCTGGGCTTTCTGGAAATCTAGGCATGTGTTTCTCTATTGTCCTTTTTTTAGCCTGCAGATTCAGGGGTTGAAGGAGGGGTATTCTGCATACAATATGGCTAGTATTTAAGAAGACACCCAGGGCTGCAAAGGCAGGTTTTTGCTGTCATCATTTGCATTGTATAGGCAGTGTTTCTGAGATTGGTGCTGTGATTACGCAAAAGCCATTCAGTTTCTGGGTGCACCCTGTAGAGTCCATCTGCGAGTGGCCTGGAGATGGGTGACTGCGGGGCACCCTGATTTAAATGGGATTCCCTGTGAGGGGCCTGGCAGGAGGCCTCTATCCATGTCTGTGAGCCCAGGAACTAGCTGGAGGCCCATCCAGGCTTGGCACATGGGACACAGGACTGTCCCCAAGTCCTCTCTGGACTCCTTCTAGGATGATCCCCAGTCCTTGGCCAGAATCTGTTTTTTGCCAACATTAGGAGCTGGCCTTGTCCCTGGATCATAGCCAAGAAGTTGACTAGGATGTGCCCATAGAAGCCAAGAGTACTAGCTGGTGGGTGTGTACAGGGGGCAAAGCCAAGGGACACCCTTCAGCCATAGCCAGAGTCAGGGTGGGAAGGCAGAGCCTCCTATTTCCTGTGATATCATTGGGGATGGGGTCTACCTGGCATTCCACAGATGTCATAAGTAGGGGCCTCTTGTATGGTGTCTTGGGGTCAAGTCCTAAAGTCATTCTATGTGATATCAGCAGGGGCTGGACATTCAATGGAAAATCTCAGGGAATGAAGCTAAAGTCTCCATGACATCCGATAAATTATCTTTGGGATAGGGCTATCACTAAGGGCAGTTTATCACGCCATTTTAAGTGGTGTCACCAGGTACTTTGAACATCACTGTGGGTGGGGCCTCCATGGCATTCAGGGTGACATTACTTGGAGCCAGGCAGGCAAAATTTAGCATTGGGCATGATGCCTTCGAGAGCACAGTCTGAGCCACCCTGGCATACCAAGTAAATCCCACGGGGCCTGCCTTCCTGATAACCCATGGGGTGTTCCTGGGGCAGGATCTCAATGGTATTCTCTGAGGTTATACTGGAGATGGAACCTCTGGACTCTGCCCTGTTTCCCAGCCAATTTTGCTCACCTAGGCGGGTGGATGGCTCCCTCCGCCCTCTATACACCTGCCATGGTAGCATGAAGCCCCTGACATTAGGATGCTTTTGAGTAGGTGCATTTATCCTGCCCCTTGGCCTGTCAGTGTCTTTGGGATGGGGAGTGCTGAGTTTCTACTCCTAGGTCTCCCTTCCCGCCTGGGACCTGGAAAGTGCTAGGCTCTTAGAGTACAAGGGTAATAGTAGGCTAACTAATGTAACAAATGAACACCAAATCTCAATAGCTCAGCACAATGAAAGTCTATTACAGCATGTGATGTGGGGTTCCTTAATCATCTCTCCTCCAGGCAGGGACTCCAGGATCCAGGCCCCTTCCAGTTAGCAGCCTGGTTGTGCTCCTCTCCATCCTTTGCACTTAGCCAACAAACAGTGTGCAGGATCACAAGGATGATGGCAGGGCAGACCTGGAAGTGACATGCATTACTTACCCCCTCATTCCACTGACCAGAGTTAGTACCACTGCTATAATTGGATACAAAGCACTAGGAAATATAGTATCCATGTTCCAGGTAGAGGAAGCAGGCTTGGTGAGCAGCAGGTATGAACATAGTGAATGAAAGACAACACGATGGGTTTCTACTGGATAGTCCATATGCCTCCTCCCTAAGGACTGGTCTATCCTTAGGACCAGCCTCCTTATGCTCATCCCTCTTTTGTTGTCCAATCAGATCACACCAGGTAGCAAGGCAGCCCAGTCCCAGCTCAGCCAAGGTGACCTTGTGGTGGCCATCGACGGCGTCAACACAGACACTATGACCCACCTGGAAGCCCAGAACAAGATCAAGTCTGCCAGCTACAACCTGAGCCTCACCCTGCAGAAGTAAGTGGAATCTCTTCAGAGCAGGGCCAGATGTTTGAGAGTGGGCATGGGGTAGGTGCAAAAGAGGGGTTGTCCCTAACAATTGAATGGGCCCAGCCCTGTGCTATGAAAAACTAGTCCAAGTCACTGTCAAGATGTTACTGCCTCACTTTACACATGAGGCTCAGAGACAGTAGCAACAGTACTGCCAGTATGGGACCTAGAAACCAGGATCTTTCCTGCTTTTTGGTCCAGACAGCCTCCCAAGGACATAGCAGGGGCCCATGGTACTGATCAGAGTGCCCAAGGTCTACAACTTCTCCATTCTGGTCGGGTCAAGAACCTTTCCCGGGGAGACCCAGCCATTGGTCGGACAGTGAACCTCAGGCCCTCTAACCTGACTGTCCCTTGTAGCCTTGCCCAGGCAGAAGATCCTGGCCCCAGGGGCAACTGTCCTCACTTGTTCCCATTTCTGGTTTCTCCAGGTCAAAACGTCCTGTTGCCATCTCCACAACTGCACCCCCCATCCAGTCCCCTCTGCCGGTGATCCCTCACCAGAAGGTAGGTGCAGATTGTCGCAGTGAGGTCCACTTTCAGCTGTGGCTCCTGCCTGCCCCTGCCCTGCCATTGATGATTCTCAGGAGAGGCATTCAGGCCCTCCATGAAGTACTGAGATGTGGGGTACTGCCTGGTGCTAGCCACCATCCCAGGTCCCCTGGCTGTGCTGATAGGAAGCCAGCTTGGGCAATAGTGTTCTAGAAGAGAGGTGGTCGTTCTGGCCAGGCAGAAGCAAGATGTCCAAGAACACTAGGGCTGGGAGTGACCATGGCAGAAGCTTCAACTCATGTCAATCAACCAAGGAGGCACTCCCAGGCATGAAGGAGCCTACTGGCCCTCAGGGCTTCTCCTCCACACGGCTCTCTCTTCCTCTAGTTCCTACTTGCCCACCTTCCTGTCAGAAAAACTGGTTGTGGCCTTAGAGGCAGGCAGATCAGGTGATGAAGGATGGAGAGCCCTGGCCCCAGACCTCACCATTGTGCTCAGGGGTCTTTCCAAAACTCCCTCTAAGCAGTTCAGCCCCGTGGTCCAAGGGGCTTGACCCAAAGCTAGGAAGGCCCAGCCCAAGGTTCCTGCAGCCTGCTCTATTGGAGCAGATTGGGCAGTGGTGGAGGTGGGCAGGGAAGACAGAGGAGAAGAGGCATACAGGGGTTGAGATAAATCACAGATTGGGGAAGTGGGCAGAGAGCTGTTTGAGAGAAGTTGCAGAAGTGGACTAAAAAGACTAAATAGGCCACCTACTTCCTTAATTGCCCTTCTGGCACTCCCACCTGGCTTGCCCTGAGGATCCCATCTGCCTGGGTTTCTACTGGATGGTAGCAGAGACCCTGAGGGGGGCAGGGTGGTTCTCAGTGTGACGTTAGTATTCCAGGAGACTGGGCTGTGTCCACAGTATGCCCCTCTCAGGAGAAGAGAGAACACCAACAGGATGGAGGGGACTTCTACTTACTATCCCCTGGCCCCACACCACTTCCTTGGGCCCCAGAGATAGGTTTGGCTTTCTGTGCAGGGCTTTGCATTTGTGTCCAGGTGGAAGCCAGTCTGCAGGCTAGGAGTTGTGGGTCTCCCCCACTCCTCTAGACAAAACCCTTCTGTGCCAGTGTCCCATCTGGGTGCTCCAGGCAGCGGGCTGCAGGTGGCAGGTGGCAGGTGGCAGGCTGCAGGGTGCTCGCACTAACCCTCCCATTTCAAGTCTATGCAGAAGCACTGCACATGCGTGGCCTCTAACCACTCTCTTCTCTCTCCCCTGCATGGTGCTGCCCTGTGTCAGGACCCTGCTCAGGACACGAACGGCAGCCTGGCGGCACCAAGCCCCAACCCTGAGGCAAGGGCCAGCTTGGGCACCCCAAGCACCCTGGAGCTCAGGGGCACCTTTAGCTCCTCCTTCTCCCAGACCTCCATCTGCTCCTCTCACACGGAGGCCTCGGACCTCGGCCCTCCACGGGACAGCCCAGGGGCCAAGGCCATCCCTGAGGGGGCCCGGGACCCACTCAGCCTGAAAGTCCTGCCAGGTCCGAGCCAGCCAAAGCAGTATAACAACCCCATTGGCCTGTATTCAGCAGAGACCCTGAGGGAGATGGCTCAGATGTATCAGATGAGCCTCCGAGGGAAGGCCTCAGGTGCTGGACTCCTAGGAGGGTAGGTAATGAATGCACAGCTCTCCACTGGTGGTTTGGGGCCACCTGGGGCCACCTGGGTCCTCGGTGCTCAGCAGAGGACTGAGCAGGTTATTGGAGAGAAGTGGCTTCAATTCAGCCACCCTATGCCCATGAGGCAGCATTGGAGGGCAATGCAAGCAAAGACCCTATTGACGTTTGCCGTGAGCCGGGCACATCAATGCTTTATACATCTACCCAGGGGGGTGACGTGCAGGCTTTTTGCAGAAGAAACTGAGGCTCCAGAGAAGGTTAAGTTGAGGTCCAATTGCCTTGCTACTAAGGCACCCAGTCAGGCCTACATACCTGAGACTTCGATTTCCCAAATTTTCATAGCAGGACACACCCCTCCTCATGGGACTGGACAGCCTGCTGCCTTCAGGAGCCACACACACTCCAGGAACCCTGAGGCAGGAACAGGGAAGAGTTCCAGGTGGAGGGCCAATTCCCTAGGACTGGGGAGTCTTTTGGGAAGGCTGCCTGGGAGAGGGAGCCCAGGAGCTGACAGTGGAGAGACTGGCAAGGGTGTGAGGGGAGGGGGATTGCAGGGACCCTGGTCAGGTTGGGCAGGCCCCCCATGGTCTAGCTGGTGAGACTCTGAGAGTAGGAGTTAGAGGAACATGGATCTGGGGCTTCTTGGAGGAGGCTGAAGGAAGGAAGTCCTCTCGTGGCCCGTTCTAGTGTCTAGGCCCTTCCCATCTCTTGTTTCTTAGTAGCTTCCATTTCCAATGCCTCTGGTTATCTCTGGGTGCAACAGGCAGGGCAGGCTGTGAGGGCAAGGTAGCCTGTAGGGGGTTCTGTGGGAGGAATCACACTGTCCACAACTCGGGGTTATGGGGAAGGTAAAGGGGACAACACATGTAAAGCACTGAGTTCTGCCCTGTCACACACTTACCACACGGTGCCCATTGCCTGGAGTTACATGGTTGGTACCCAGAAGATTTAAAACAAGAATCTGGTCAGTCTAACCCCAGCCTTGCCCTTCACGTTGCCCTTGCTGTGCCCCATCAGCTCCGTGTTCCTCTGGACCTCCCAATTTCCCAGCTCTTTCTAGGCCCTGAGAGAATCTGGCCTCTGGCATGTCATGGCTTCCTTGAGCCAAAGTGGCAGAGCCGTGTGGACCAGCACCTCCCCCTCTTCACCCTCAATGGCTTCCCTGGCAAGGGATTTTTGCAAGAAAACTCTGAAAATATCAGAACAGAGATGGCCACCTTGTCCTGCCTTTGATGGACTGGTAGACCTTCCTGATCCTTTCTGGGACTTGCCCCAGGTAGGAAGGCTGGACTCTGGTGGACTAGGTTGCCTGGGAAGCCCACCTGCCGTGGTGATAATGTTTCCCCTTGACTGAGCTTTGACTCTGGGCTGGGAGACTGGCTTAATCTCTCAGTAACTTCAGAGATGGGCATTGTTTCCCCTCAACCTACAGCCATGAAAACAGAGGCTCAGAGAATGAATAGTTTGCCCAAGATCCCACAGCTAGCAAGTGGCACATACACTGGCATCTGGGTCTGCCTGACTCCATCTTGCTTTGAGATAGGTTATCTACTGCCCAGAAAGTCAGAGGCCAGCTCCAACCCCTACTTCTTTTGACTCCCCAGGTGCCATTCTGTTGGAACAAGGGTTGCCCAGAACCTGACAAAAGTGTCAACCAGAGACAACCAGAGAGGCAGGATCCAACAGGTTCCTCCAAGGGAAGATGAGCCAGGAGAGGGAGGGAGTTTGGTGCTTCATCTAGAGTAAAAACTAATGCTGCTGTTCCAGGAGTGAGAATAGGAAGGGCTGGAGCCTCTGCTAGGCCAAGGCCACTGCCTTTGATGAGTGTCTAACTGCTTGTAAGCAACAAGGTTAGCAAATGCTGATCTCTACATCCCTCCATTGCACATTTAGCCTAGGCTGGGGGCTTTGGACAGGATCCTGTTGTTCACTGGAATAGTCCATCTGTGTGTGGGGGGATACCATCATCTCCATTTTATGAATGAGAAGACAGAGGCTGAGAGGGGTGGGTAACTTGCCTGGAGTCCCAGTGCTAGGAGGTAGGGTCAGGATTCAATCTCTGATCTGTCTGGCTCCAAAAGGAAGCCCCTCCCTGGCTCTCTCCTCTGGACAGCTTGTATCTCCTTGGAGGGGTGAGAGGATTGGATGTAATGCAAGGGTAGGCAGGCCTGAGCATCCCTGCGACCTGCTTCTCATCCTATCTGAGGCTGGCATTGAAGGGCAGTGTTCCTCAGGCCACTCAGTACAAAGTACCTTAGACAGGTGTAGCATCTTGGCAACAAGACCTGGGCACTGGCTCCTCACCACGTCTGCTGTAGGCACCCCAGCCTGGGGTCCTCAGCAGGGGGAGGAACCAATGCCAAAGAAGGTGCTGGCTGACACCCTGCCAGGCCAACACTGTCCTCTGCAAGGGACACTGGGCTGGTTAGGGCAAGGGCTGACCCTGCAGCTGTCAGCACTGGCCAAACATGGAGAAGGAATGGAAGTTCCATGCTGGCCCTTTCCTAATATAGATCTACTTGTGGCTATTTTGAGCCTGGGAGGACAGAAAGAATTTTATCAGCTCTGAGACAGGGTGGGCCTGGAGCTGAGCAGAGCCACCATGAAGTTCCCTGGAGTGGGGTCCTGGCTACAAGGAGACCAGGGCCAGGCCACTTGGAGCCAAATTTTCTCCAGTCAGAGCCCAACAGTGGGCTGCTCAGGCAGGTGGTAGAGTTTGGAGACAGAGCCCACTGCCCTCTACTCTTTCTGTATCAGGTTTCAGACAGGGCTACTGGCCACAGGGCTGCCACCTTAGGTAATTTGTATTTAAAGAATCATGATATAGACAGTACTCCCCAAAGAGATCAGGCTTTAGGAGACTGGCTCTTATATCAGAGCAAGGGGCAGGTCCCTCTCTGGTATCCAAGCTGGGCTACCCAGCTTTGGCCTTTCCTGTAGCAAGCTTGGGACTCACACTCTTCCTGGGCCTCCTCATTCACCTCCTTGCTGTGGCATGCCCCTCCTCTGGAAAGAGGAAAGTGTTCCAAGTATCCCCTCACCCCACACAGCCCCACTGCAATGCCTGCTCAGGGAGCGGAACTCCTGAGTTGCCCCCATGAACCAGAGCTAAGTCCAGAGCTACTGTCTAGGAGGAGGTGGGTGGGGATTTGGCTCTTCTTCACGCAGCCCTGTTGATCCTTTCTCCATCCCCAGATTCCTCTCTGGGGTCTACAGCCAGGCTGTATGTGGGGGATTCTTGTACATGGTAGGAATGCCCATGAGTTGAACAAGAAAACCCTTCTCCTAGCAAAGCTGAGGGCATGGAAGCCCACCATGGAGGTAATACTGCTGTGTTGATATCTCCAATCCAAACCGAGGGTCCTGGAGGCCGTGGTCTCTGATCCTGAGCGCGCTCTCTCCTTTTCACTCCTTACTCTCTTCACACAGTGCGGTTGGGCCATCCATCTATCATGGCCAGTGTGCAGGCGGTCCTAGTGTTCTAGCTCCCCCTGCAGGAGCCTCATTCTGACGTCGCTGTCTTCTTTGCCCTTTCTCTCTTCCCCAGGTGGTAGCGAACTCTCCAGCCAAGTTAGTATCCAAGGAAAGCATGTGTGTGCACTTGTGTGCCATCTCAGCATGGCTCTGCGTGTCTGTCGGGTGTGGATAGCCTGTGCCTATCCGCATGTGTATGTGCGTGCATGTGTGAGTAAGGGTGCTTTTGTGCCCTGGGTAAGCCTGCATGGGTGTGAAGCTAGAGGATGGAGTGAAGGCGTTGCAGGGGGGAGGGGGTCTCTATCTGGTGGTTCCAATTTCATTACCAATTTCCTGCTCCAACTGCTTAAACCCTGCAAGCTAGCTCTGGTGGGTGGGTGGGTGGGGTGCTGCGCTGTCTCCAGGATTTGTGTGAGCCTGAAGATCTCTGTTCCAGTGGGACCCTTGAGGAGGACTGCACCTTGTCTTTGCCTGGGGAGGGATGGGTGGAGGCACCTATCTGCTGGAAGGCAGAGCCCCAGATGGGTAGAAGCTGGTGAGCCACACAGATACCTGGACTGGACGGGCCTGCGAAGCCTAAGTTCTGCTCCAAGGAAGACACACGGACAGAAGCATCTGAAAGAACACAGCCTCCGACTACAGAAGGATTGCCAACAGAATGAATCCCTTCTCGGAGAAACTTTGCTCAGAATCCCTGTGGGGACCCTGTGTGGCTATTTTTCGCCTTTGGGACGCTCTGAACTCAGCTTGCAATGTTGCTGCCTCTCTCATGTGGCCCAGCTCCTGTCCCCTCTCTTGAACCCCATTCCCCTAATCTTTTTTTTTTTTTTATCTCTGCTTCTCTGGCTGTGTGTGGTGGGAGATCTCTCCATGCCTGGAGCCTCCAGCGTCAGTTAGTTCAGACTGAGCCAGAGCCTGCTGGGGATTTGGGGCAGCTGACATAGACAAGAAAAACCTTCTGCACAAAGTTTTGGGGAGGTGCTGAGGATTTTCCTGACCAGACTCTGCCAGCCCACAGTGGGAGATCTCGGGGTCAGGCCTGGGCTTTGGGAGATCTGCTTGGGGTCAGGCCTGGGCTTTGGGAGATCTCTTTCAACACTCACCACCACCAGGCCTGGCCTTGACGTCTAGTGTAACCTCCACCTGTTGCCCTTTTCTCCTTCCCCTTCTCTCCTCCACCCCTACCCTGCTCCTCACGTGCCCCTTCCCCAGCGCCGACTACCAGGAACGCTTCAACCCCAGTGCTCTGAAGGACTCGGCCCTGTCCACTCACAAGCCCATTGAGGTGAAGGGACTGGGTGGCAAGGCCACCATCATCCATGCACAGTACAACACGCCCATCAGCATGTACTCCCAGGATGCCATCATGGACGCCATTGCTGGGCAGGCCCAAGCCCAGGGCAGTGACTTCAGTGGGTAAGCGTCTTCCCCACTCTCTTCACCTGCAGAAGCCACCAGGCACCATAAGGACCAGCTTTCACCTTCCTCTTGGGGCACAGGCCCTTGAAAGGAAGCCAGCTTTTGCCAGGGCCTTCCAGAACAGGGTTATGGTCTCTTCAGAACTTCTTTCTCACGGTCAACTTCAGGAGAAGGGTGGAGAAATGCAAAATGTGGTGGTTCCTTTGCATTTTCCAGGTTCCATGAGGAGGTTGGTTTAGAAAAAAAATCTTCTACAAAACTCTCAAAGCAGCACTCAAGACCCACCCCCCATCCCAGCCTCCCAGGACCAAGCTGTTCTTGGGGGAGAGGGTGAAGTTGCTTTATTCTTCCAGCCATGAGAGATCCAAATACAGGATGGGCTTCTTGTTGGGAAGTGGCTTCCAAGCAATCATTCAAGGTTGCTGTTGGCAGTAGGTCCCATTGATGGTCACCTCCCTTCTCCTTTTTGCCTCAAGGTAGTAGAATTGAAGACTTTCGTCCTCTTAGCTGTGATTAGGGAACTTGAGGATGAACTAGGAAGTACAGTTGGCTGAAACCCTTTTGTGGATGAAACTGCTCAAAGTGCAAACATTAACAGGGCTTTCTCTCTCTCTCTCTCTCTCTCTCTCTCTCTCTCTCTCTCTCTCTCT